GGGGGGGGAGACTGTTGAAGTTTTCTAAAGTCTGCCATTTGACAATTGTCCTGGATTTTTCCTTTTGCAGAAATTCCTTTTCTATGCCTTGAAGAGCAGTGATGTCCTGGATGTCTTGGTGCCCATCCTGTACTATCTGAATGACGCCCGAGCAGACCAATGTAAGCTCTCCTCAGACCCACGCTCTGCAACCTACAGCACTCTGTCACTTCCATTCTCTACTGAGTAGCTGAAAGGACATGGTCAGCTGTGGGAACCAGCACATTTGAGTGAAGGAATGAGTGCTGTGGTATATCAGAGGGTGGCAGGGTTTACTTTGGATGCTGCGACCATCCTGAGATGCAGCTGGCTTGCTAGTCTAACTGGTGTTTTTCCTGATGGTTAAATTTGTCTGTTTTGGAGCTAATTCTTACATCAGGCACAGTCGCAGTGTGGTTGCGATACTGGACCAATGATCCAGAGGCAACTGAGGAATTTACCTTAACTTGCTGGGTGCTTTTGGTGAGTTCAGACCTGCAATAATGTGATTAATTGTTAGCTTCTATCTGAAATAGCTTAGTAAACCACTTGATTATATTCTGGAGGCAGCTTATCTATTTCCTCGAAAGCAGACAGTCGGTGTACATCTACATCCCCATGTATAAAAAATGAAGCGATGCTATTGGACAGCCAGCTTGGAATTGAACATTCTGGGTTGTGGAGGGGTGTGGCCTGATCTGGCATGAGTTCCATGTTGGCACCACTGCCACTGCCACTGCCACTCCCACTGTGCCTAACTCAGCCTCAGAAATCTGCAATCATTATTTCAATGTCAGAGCTGGAAATCCGCACCCCAGCCACATGTTGGCTTTAAGGGCTTGGGGACGCTGACATATCCAATAAGAGCAGGTATGGTGAGAGTCTGGATTGCAGGGACACAGCTTGAAGTGACTTGGGAGAGGGCTATGTCAACTTGTAGAAGCTCGATAGTGGCTGGAGAAGCAGTGAGTATTGTCAGACCAGAAAAGTAGAGAGTAATGAGAAAGAATCCGAGAGAAAATGGCAAAGGTGTTAGAATGTAAGGAACAATCCAAGGTAATGACTCCAGTTCAACTTGTACCTAAAAGAAAGGATAGCTCCTGTACAAGCAGCTTTGGATTAATTTGTTCACTGTAGCTCAGTTGGTAGCATTCCTGCCTCTGAACCACAAGGTTCCAGGTTCCTTGGCTGACACTAGGGTGCAGTGCAGGACTCAGGAAGACAAGGTGAGATGTTCTTCAATCTTTTCACATCTTGCAGGCAGATTTCAATTTTTCTGTTACTTGGTCAGTGGAGTCCCTGTGAGAAAACCTCAGAAAAATTAGGTTTGGTGCAACAGTAAACACGAAACTCAAACTGAGAAACAAGTCCAAAGTAATAAATTGATCAATTAAAAATGCATTGATAAAAGTGACCCTTTTTAAAAAGTGCCAAGCAGCAGAGTGAACCAATAAAACCTTTTGTTGCCTTTTCGGTTAAGAAACAGAACGAGGTAGAGAGAAACCAGGCCCCAAATCCTAGTACCCAAATCCTAGTACCATTTGCCTCTGTAGGGGCATTCTTCAAATTGGCCTCAAAGGGCTTCACACACAAGTGAGGGTTAGAATCAGGTTGCCTTTCAGCCTTGGATTACACCCTCTCCAAGCCTATTTTGTGGAGAACTTTTTGCAAGGGGAAAGGTGGGTGTATGTCTGCCCCTCCCCCCACCTTTTCTTCACACCCACCGTCGGTCCCACACAATCTCGGTCGGTCCCTCACTCTCTCCCTCTTTCACAGGTTATGAGAGTTTGGAGGGCCTGCTCTGCTGCCTTGACTGCAGTTCTTGAGGAGCCAGTGATGCTGCAGGAAGGAGACTGTCTCGCCTTCCCCAACCTGCCCCTAATCGTGACTCCAGTCTGATTCCCCTCACCCATTGTGACTCTTGTAGTCCCCATCCAGAGGCCTTGGTGTCGCCTGGTATTTAGGCCTTAAGCTGAATGATGGGAGGGAGCCTTGCACAGCTCACTGCTCTTGCAGTCAGAGGCTGTTTAGAAAGGAGAGGAGTGAATTGGCGTCCAACTGCAAGGCCATCTCCTGCAGCATCTTCCACATGTACGTAGCTGTATTTCAAAGGCTGGTTGTGGGCAAGATAGGACTTGTGTTGGACTGCCTGTTGACTGAAGCTGCATTAAACTAACGGTCTGTTCCTGTGAACGTAAAAACTCCCATGGTAATATTTTGAAGAGACACTGAGGAGTTATCTCCAGTCTCCTGGCCCTGGCCCTGGCCCTGGATCACCATCACAGAAACAGATTACCTTGTCATTTTCAGATTGTTAGTCAGATGCACAAATGTGGGGTAATGTGAATATTAATAGAGTCAAAGAGCTGTAAAGTACAGAAACCGATCCTTCGGTCCAACTCGTCCATGCCACCCAGATATCCTAAATAAGTGTTGTCCCATTTGCCAGCATTTGGCCCATATGCCTCCAAACCCTTCCTATTCATATACCCATCTAAATGTTTTTTAAATGTTGTACTTGTACCAGCTTCCACCACTTCTAGCAGCTTATTCCATACACGTGCCACACTCTGCGTGAAAAAGTTGCTCCTTGGGTCCCTTTTAAATCTCTCCCCTCTCACCTTCAACCTATGCCATCTAGTTTTGGACTCCCCCACACTGAGGAAAAGACCTTGACCATTCAGCCTATATATGTCCCTCATGATTTTATAAACCTCTATAAGTTCACCTCTCGGCCTCCGATACTCCAGGGAAATAGCCCCGTCCATTCAGCCTCCCCCTATAGCTCAAACCCTCCAACCCTGGCAACATTCTTGTAAATCTTTTCTGAACCAGTCTACCATGTGGAACCTTGTCAAACGCCTTAATGAAATCCATATAGACAACGTTCACCGCTCTGTCTTCATCAATCCTCTTCGTCACTTCTTCAAAAAACTCAATTAATTTAGTCAGACACGATTTCCCATGCACAAAGCCATGTTGACTATCCCTAATCAGTCCATGCCTTTCCAAATACAAAAATGTCCTGTCCCTCGGAATCCCCTCCAACAAATTGCCCTCCACTGATGTCAGGCTCACCGGTCTATAGTTCCCTGACTTTTCCTTACCACCTTTCTTCAATGGTGGCACCACGTTAGCCAACCTCCAGTCTTCTGGCACCTCACCTGTGGCTATTGATGATACAACTATTGCATCAAGGGGATCAGCAATCACTTCCCT